CCGTAAAAAAAAACAATTTGTAAAAAGATGTATTGTTAGATCTCTCCCGCCGAAGTTTTCAGTTATAGCAACCAGAATTTTTTACATTCACAAGTAGCTGCTTTATCTCTCTTCCAATGGTTTGTATGTATTTATATTCCATAATACTTCCCAAAATTATAGATTTTCGTAGCTATCTAGCTAGAATTATACACGGTTAGAATCACTACGGTCGGACCGTTGACCGATGTAACGTAGTCGGGTTGTTCGATGATTATCACCCGATTACAAGTATTCACATAGAGCGTACTCGTCACATAAACATGCAGGATACCTTGTTAATCCGAAAATTAAAGGTGATTCTACAAGAAAATACCGACAAACCTCAACGACGAATCAGCATTTTTTAGATCAATCATAACGTCTGCGCAAGCGCAGAAGCCAAATATTACGCCTTTGACTTATTTTGATAACAAACATCGCGTGCATATTTAATTCACAGTGGGTAAAATTATACTGGAAATTATTTATTTGCTTCACAATATAATTCTCGTGTATTTAAAAGAGACATTGAGCAACTTTGCAATTGTTTATGTGTTTATGATTGCAAACGTCACATACAGTTGTGGTGATCGTCTTCTAAACACAGTCGATCTCGTCCGTTTACAATATCGTATAATGTCGACAACTGTGGCGTTTACATTGATAAGCAAACTTAAATTCCGTACGATTACCTATACTATCAATCAAAAAAGTTTCGAGAACTGTAAACAAAATTTACGGCAGTAAAATATGCATGCATCGCGTAAGGACCGGTGTTCCTGATATCTACCAACAACGTGAATTATTAAACCGGGAGTCGTCACCTGCGCACGCGCGGGAATTCAGTCCCAAGCGACATAACAACACACACACTGAAAACGCAAAGGCTCATGGGTAGACGCTTGTTTGTAAACAATGACACGCTAACGGCCATCTGACGCATGCGCAGGTGATGACTCCACTGCCTTAATTATCCCCGTCAAATAATGCTAATGTTACCGCAAGGGTCAGCTAAATTCACTACCAAATAGCATCCAGTACCGTTTATTACCATGGGACTACCAGTTTATGTTATTATGACAAATTGAAATTTCAAATTTTATATAAATAAACAAACACGCCTTGTACACGTTGCATGGCGTAACGCTACGGTTGTAACGCTTCAATGGACATATAAAATTTAGTGTTCCCAGTAAGCTTTAACCATCATAACCACAAACTCGTCAAAACTGATTCTGCCGTCTCCATCCTCGTCCGCTTCTACCATCATGCTGTACACTTCCTCGTCGGTATACGTCCCAGTTTTCTTGACCAGCGCAAGCTTGAGTTCATTTAGCGTAATGTACCCGTTACCGTCTGCGTCCAGTTCGGCAAATTCACTTCGAAGAGTGTTAACGTTTGGACCTTTAACGATAAAAGGAGGATTACATTGCATTTAATGTGGTGTAGGTTTGTTATAGATTAAAGTAGAAGTATCCTACTTTTGGCTAAGGTTAAATCGAGTTCAGATTATTTAAAGATTTCCTTGTTCGTAGGTCACGTGACAGACAAGACTGACCTCGTACTGATTGTATGCTCCGCTGTCAAAGGGCAGATCTGTACAAATGTAATAATACTGATTTCGGTTTCAGCAAAACCGACTGTTTGTAGTTCATCACCAAATCAGAGCATTCGACTTACATGTTTCTTTCTTTGGGAAGAGCACATTCTTTGCAGCTGATTTTCGTCGGGGTGCAGCGAGCCGTTGGATGCCGATCCAGTATACGGTGAACTCATTGAAATCGATTCTACTGTCTCGGTCGATATCGGCCTCCCTCATGAAAAAGTAAACGTCCTCCTCGGTAAAATCGATGTCACGTCGCCGTAGTCCGTCTTTGAGCTGACTTATAGTGATAAATCCATCCCCGTCGGTGTCGTAGTGGTCAAAAGTTGAACGTACACTGCTCGTTGTCGTATCGCTGCGAGAATGGTCACCTGAAACATGAAATATGACTGGTTATACGCCCTCATTCGACAGTTGTTTGCCAAGTATTGACCGACAATCTATAAATAGTAAACCACACATTTTCCATTTATCCTTTTACACATAGATGGGAAATATATAC